CGAATCCAAGATTTTATTGCTTAAACCCTTCAGGTTCAAGACTTCCTTCTTAGGTTCCATGAACCTAAGACTTTCTAACCAATCCCCTCAGGCCTAATACTTTCTTGCTTAGTTTCCACGAACCCAAGACTTCTGCTCATACTCTCAAGTGCAAGACGTCTGCTCAGACTCGTAGTATAAGACTTGTGCTCAATCAACAACTGATCAAGACTTTCAATGCTCTAGCACATAGCAGGAGACTTACTTGACTCAAGCTTCTCAGCAAGAGACTTTGACGCTTAAGTAAATAGCAAGAGACTTTATCTAAACCACTAAGCAACATGTTTAGCAGAATAGAGAATAAGGTGTATTTGATACAAAATCAGAGGTACAAGGTAATCACCATAACAAAGACCTTAAACACTTAAGATTTCTAAGATATTCAATGTTTAAGAAATCTTAAGGCTTTGTACAATTTACATAATTGTGGGGTAGTGGTGGATTAAGGTGTTAATTACTATTATTTAGAATTAAATAATTGTAGTTATATTATTTTAGGGTTATAATAATAATTTTAGTTATTTTATTTAGAATAAATGAAGATAATAGAATAATAAGGTGAAAAGATAGAATAAGGGCAAGAAGGTAATTATGGTGAGGAACAGTGAGGGTATGATGGAAAAAGTATAGAAATGATCTAAGGAGTAAAATAAGAATAAAGAAATAAGGAAATTTGAGGTCATTCTGTACGATTGTGACTTTTGGAGAAAAGTGAGAAGCGGCTATGACACAGAGAGAAGAGAAAAGGAATTCATCCCGTAGGGTTTGAAAGAGATCGATTACTAAGAACTAATGTAAGAGGTTTAATCGCGTTTATTGTAATTGATATTGGGTTAAGGTGTTGATAGGTTTGTGTTTTGTGTAATGAATTTGATGAAGATTGATGAAATTGGTGAAAACCATGTATTGAATGAATGAATGAATGAATCCTTGATAAATGCATGACGTTAGGACCTCTAAATAAGTGTTATAAATGTTATACAGTCGTATGATTTTGAATTACGAAACTGGAACTTTTTAAGGAATCGAGTTCGGAGGTCCGGAAGGTCTCCAACCGCGGAAAATCGCAGGCTGAGAAGTGTTGTCTCACAAACAGTCGCCCCAGCTTCGTCGAGCGAGCCTCAAGTGAAGGGCAACAGACAGAATCTTTAAAGTGTCGTAACTTGAGTTTTAGGAGTCTGTTTGACACGCCGTTTGAAGTGTTGGAAAGATGACGTGATGAACTAAATTATGATTGAATTATATGAGTGTTTTGATACATGATTTTAATATCTATGTGTTCATGAGATTGATTTATTACATGTTGTTATGTTATGATGTGCTATTTGATGATAAACATGATATTGATTATGTTCTATTGTGGTGATTTGTTAATGATGTTGTTGTGACATAAATGATATGATTTATGATGATGATTTGGTGAGGTGCGTGTGCAAATATAATACATGCTATCATGATAATTTTATGATGGTTTATGATGTTGAAATACTGCAATTTGGTGTGTGTAATGTCTATTATGATGTATTATTATCGTATTGTGAATATATGTTGAATCATGAGTTTTAGACGGAAAGGGTATTGAAATCGTATGGGATTTGAGATTGGTTTGGTGTAGAAAACGCAACGGCAGAGCTGCTATTTTTGCGTCGTCGCCGGGCGAGCCATATGCTTCGCCGGCGAAGCTAATTCGCTCGGGCAGCGCCGGATGAGATGAGAGGCGAAGGTAATGATGGAAAGGAGGTGCTCCTGAAATTTTGTATGGGGGAAGGTGATTTGCCCCTATTTCACCGGGCGAGCCTCAGGCGAGTGGACTACTTCGTCGGGCGAGCCTCAAGCGAGCAGACTGGGACAAATTTATTTCTAAAACTTTGAAAATTCATAATTTGAGTTGTGAGTGTCCGATTGATGCGTTGTTCAGATCGTTGGAAAGCTGGTTTAACGTGCTTTCTCTTAAAAATATTTCCAGTACCATAATTCTAACTATTTGACGTGTGGACGGTTGTTTCGTACTGTCGAGTTATGCCGTTTTGTGAAATGTATGAAAAGGCTTTGTGTAATTAATAATTGGTGTTGTTCTATGTCTAATGATATTAATGATGTTGTTGTGGAATTAATTATGATGACTTTGATGTTGAGGTGATATGATAAATGTTACTTGTAGTGACGTTTGATGACGCGTATGATAACATTAAGTATAAATGCTATGTGATGATGATTATGTGATGAAGATTACGTGGTGTGTTGAATGAAGTTGACATTTAAGCATGTTTGATGTGCATACATGCTATGTGAAGGATGTTATTATGATGATTACATGAATTATGATGCAATTAACTAGCCGTGTTCGAATTATTATTGGTGTTGTGCATCATATATTCATGGCATGTGTTAGGACGTTTGTTCAGTGACGATGTTAGGACTTTGGTCCAGTGGTGGCCTCAATCCCATTGTGAGGATTGAGTGCGTTTTATAATGTGTTCCAGTTCCAAGTGGGAATCGATCCTATGTGGGGATCTTTGGAGAGAGATGACCAAGTGTTCATCAAAGAATTGTTACCACATGTATGAGTCAGTGTTGTTGCGTTACATACTAAGTGACATTGCATAATTGTGAGTTAAATGATGTTTGATGATGTTATGACTTAAGTGATATTTTGGTGATGATGATTGATTGATGATATAATGACATTGTGAATGACTTAATGAAGTGACAATGTGAGTATGTGCGTGATGTGTGACGAATATATGAATTATTAATAATTGTCGTTGTAACTACTATATCTTTTCCTTATATCTTTTGTAATGAATTGTGATTACTCACCCTGCCTGTTTGAATGTTGCCTCCACGTGGGTAACGTGCAGGTGATCAAAATTAACTCGTAGATGCGTGGAGACTTAGCTTTGGAGTTGTTTTGCTCTATTTCCGTTAATAATAGAGGTGTCTTGCTCTAATATGTAACATCGGGTGGGGAACGCTTGAGTCGAATATTATGTTGTTTTGTTAGACTTATGTTATGAGATTTCTATACGATTAGATTTATTTGAAGATTTGACTTTTGATAATGACCAAAAGATTTTGATGTTTGATGAAGCAAAATAAATTACTTTGAGATTATGATTCCGCTGCGAAGTCTGAATTTTTGTTGATATTAGTGAAGAAATGATTATATTAAATGTTTTGAAAAACCGTATTACGGAAAAGTATGTTTATTTAAGATGTTTTTATGACGTGTGACACCCTTGTTAGTACAATGTGTTAAATTATTTATTAATTTATTTATGAAATATTTGTGGGTTTAGAAGGGTGTTACACATAGACTCTAGCTGACAAACTGATTTGACAATGCAACTTGTTTTTTGCAGTACGGATAACTTAAGCTTTATTACTCACTCTAAATTTCACCAGAAGTTGATACATTAACTTAGTGTAGAGACAATATGTTGCTCTTCTGATGCTGAGGCTTTCAACTTCAGAGTCTACGCCAGACATCACTTAGAGAGTGTTCTTTAGATTCTGATCCACCAGAAACTAGTAACTCAGCTCCTTTCAAATGTGTCCTTATATCAGATTCTGAATGCATTCTTTTTAAGTTTTTAGAACTCGCATATTTGAAACACACATTAGATAACACCATTATTCTTTCAATATTTTATTATCATTAAAATCAAAAAGATATATATCATGAATAAATCTTATTCTAACATTGTCTTCTGCCCTTTTAAAAGATAGCATGTCTCCTATGTGCCATTTCTTTCAATGGCTGTAATTTCAGCATCCATAGTCTTTCTCTATTTTGGTTCTTCGACAGCCACTTCAAAGATGGTGATCACAATCCAAAAATAGAGAAAAATGTACAAATGGGTCATCACCTTGTACAACTGCAGTTACCTCATAATCAATCATCCATATTGATCTTTTTCGAACAGGTTGAGGCCGTTATAATTCAGCTGTAAGTGGGCTTTCATCAGTTGGAAGATTTTGAGTCTTCATCTGATGCTGCCCTTTCTCCTCGTCATCAAAATCTGATAGAATACTTTCTTTAGCACAATTTTAATTCCATGACCAGAAGCCTTTTTCATCAAATACCACATTACCGCTGATGACAATTTTTATGGTGTTAGGATTGTACAGTTTATAATCTCTTGAGTTATAAAAAATAATTTTCTCCGTTGTTGTCTAGCTTCCTCCTCTCATATGAAATATGGGCATAGACAACAGTAATAATCTACAACAGGTTTCCTTCTGCTCCTTGCCTCCTCTAGTGTCAGATTGTGAACAGCAAGTGTAGACTTTTGTTCAATATATGAGTGTTTCAATTAGCTACTTCGGGCCACGGCTTGACACTATATTCATAATAGTGTGTGGTTCTTCCTCTCGCATACACCATTTTGTTAGGATATAGTGTATAACATATTCTAAGCTGTCTCTTGATTCCATATTTCTCAAGAAATGTTATATTCTCCATCACGATTCGTGGAAGAATTTTTATTGGATTTCCATCTTCTTTCTCAAGAAGCGCTTTATAACTTTTAATCTAGCTTCAGATTTTTCTTGCAAAAAATAAACCTAAATCTTACGACTATAATTATCAATGAAGGTATTTACGGTGCATATTTTGGCCGAAATACTTTGCGGGGGTGTAAATCTACTCAAGCGGTGGTTGTACTATACAGAGACAAGGAGATAATGAGAGAATACATCATGCCATATATTTTCAGATTAAAAAAAACATGTATATATTCTATAACACGAGTCAAGTCAAAGTCAAAGAGGTATTTTGATCTTAATACATAATAATCTGCATATTCTTTTACAAACCTTCCTCCAAAAACACATATTTATTTGCACAATTTTCTACATAAAATAAAATCTCATATTCCTCCCAAACCCATCTCTAACATAAGAGATTACACATTTGGTACCACTCTACTACTACCCTACTGTTTCTTTGTCCTAAATCTTCAACCATTCACAACGCTCCCACCTGAAAAAACATGTCAATGTCAATTATTAAACTTCTACAATTAATTAATAAATGTACACATTAGGGGCAATAATTACCATTGGGGTGAAGGACTTGTCCAGTAAAATAAGAGGAACATTGATTAGACGCAAGAAAGACATAAGAGGGAGCAACCTCAATAGGTTGACCAGCTCTATTCATAGGAACTTGACCACCAAATTTAGCAGTCTCTTCCTCCTTGAAAGACGCTGGTATCAATGGTGTCCATATAGGTCCAGGTGCCACCCCATTCACCCTTATTCCCTTGCTCACAAGCTGAAGTGATAGTCCTCTCGTAAATGCCACTATTGCACCCTTGGTAGATGTATAGTCCAGTAGTTTTGCGTTTCCTTTGTATGCATTCACTGATGTTGTGTTAATAATGCTGCTCCCTTCCTTCATGTGCTTCAATGCATGCCTGAAAGACACATACACCAGACACAAAATCATCTGACATACACGTCGATATTGATAATAATGATAATAATTTGGCCTGTCCGGTGTCTGTGATTCAGAATTACTGACCTGGTCATGAAGAAATATGAGAAGATATTTGTTCTAAACACCCTCTCAAGCCTGGGTTCATCAATCTCCTCAACTGATGAACACTCATATTGCTCAGCTGCATTGTTAACAAGAATGTCAATGTGTCCATACGCACTAACGACCTCATCAACGACTCTCTTGCAATTCTCATCAAAACCTAAGTCAGCTGCTAAAGCCAATGGATCCTTAGCATCAACACTCTTTGCTTTCTTGATCATTTCTAACGTGTCCTTGGCATCCTTGTCTTCATCACCCTTTACATATGTGAATGCCACCGTAGCACCTTCTAATGAAAACAAATTGCACACTGCACGTCCAATTCCAGAATCACCTCCTGTTATTACAGCTATCTTTCCCTGAAATTTCACACAAAGGAAAAAAACATCAATATGTATAGTACAAGCAAGCAATACTTGAAGGTGAATATGTATATATATTTATATATATATATATATATATATATATACTTGAAGTTTGTTTGATGGTTCGTAGTCAGGGTTAGTGAATTGAGGTAATGGATCCATAACATGTTCTTTCCCAGGTTGTGTGTCTTGTTTTTGTGGAGGGAATTTCTGTTCACCGGAAGCCATTCTTACAAAGAAGGTATTGGGAAAGGATATGGAAGGGAATTTGTGAGTTGATGGAAAAATAGGAAGAAAGTGATGATTGTTGTTTTTGGAAGGGAAATTATAGAAGGTGGATATGGTTGATAGAGATCTTGATGATAGTGAAGAAAGTGTTGGGTTAAACATATAATGCGTAGTGAAAGACTTGAACATGGTGCACGTGTGGTATGGAACTTGTGACATGCGGATCGAGAGGTTCTTTATAAGGATGTGAATATGCCACGTGGGGAATATTGAAGAAAGAGGTGTTGATGTGTCGTTCCCTTCCCATGCGTCTACTCATTTTTGTTTATTTTTTTAAAACAACTCATCAAATTTTTTATTTTAACCGTGCAAATTATTTACACTAAACTAAAGTATCAGACACCAAATCCTGCAAAAATACGACAACAGTCTAGAATAAATTGTCCAACATTTAATATCATATATTGTACGGTTGACCAGCTGAATCGCAACACCTTGAACTTGAAGTTTAAATTGAAATTAAGACAAATCTCCAAACACGCAGCAATTACAAACTTTTTAAATCGAAAAGCTCTCCTATACCACACTACTCCACAAGCAGCAACTCTTATGAAGTATCACCCTAAAACTCACCACAAAACCAAACCAAATTCTAATCTGCAAAGCCTAAATCTCTCACAACAATTCCAATCAATGCCACCACATGACTAATCAAACTACCACATAAAATAGCAACCTACAGCAAAACTTTGTAACAATAATGCAAAAACACAGCAGGACCAAAGCTAACATTATTTGCACCGAAAACATCTCTAAAATATTATGTGTTTTGGACTGAGTCGAAATTTGCTCCTCAGTCGGAAAAGTTCAACCCAACATTACACTGATGAGACTCAACATAGGCTCAATCCTCCTCTGTCGACCACACACCTCAACAAGGCACCTTAATCGGACAGAGTATTATCTTGTCGAGGAGAGCTCACACGCTTTTTCCACGTTCTCCACGTGTCCCTTACGCGGGGGCACGTCATCAGACAACTACTCACTTTCGAAAGAGATGGTCAGCTCACCTTCCGAAGATCACGGGACATTTGATCTAGAGTGAAGACCACATGCTGATCTTCACTACGCCACGTAAGCCCTGACACTTACTTGCATTTGGTTTGGCAATCCGGCCCAATGCAATGTAATCGTTGGCTCTATGCTAAAGGCATATTATAAATACCCTATTTCATTAGAGGGTCAGGTATCTTATTCTCTACACCTATTATCTTTGTACTTACTCTTTCTAAACTCTATTACTCACTTAAGCATCGGAGTACCTTGCAGGTACACCCCTTCCTCCTCTACACCACCGGTGAACGCAGTAGCTCACAACGCATGGCAGACTACTGATTCCTTCCTAATCAGGTGAAATCAGTGGCGCCGTCTGTGGAAACTCTTTGCTTCCCCGTTTTTTCTCCTATCCAAGTATAGAAGCTCAAGAACCAAAACAACTTTCAACTTCCATTTCGATCATGGTCAGCCCACGCAACGACAATGCTCTGGAAACCGCCTTCGTCCCCTTCGCCAACGGGGACAGCCACAACCCCAACGTGACCGTCCACAACGACGAGGGAGACTACAAGGATGGGCGCACTGCCTCTCCCTTCTCGGAGGACGCGGCCTTCAAGGCCGCCTAGCGCCTTGACAGCCCAGCTGTCTACCAACCCATCCCAGTACCAGCAGGTGCCGATCCTACCGTGGTGTCTCTGTTTGCGGCAATCAACTAGACAACATGATCATCTTCCAACAGAACGAGCGAATAGGGATGCTCAAGAGGGAGCGACCATAACGCTCACTCCACGGAGACATCGTCGCCCAGTTTCCAGCAGCCCATCTCCTCCTCCGCAGAGGATGCGACACGTCGACTCTCAGAGCCCTTCTCCCCAACCGATTGGGCGTCGCCCTCGCTTGGAGTGACCATAGCCGATGACAGGAGTGACGAAGACGTCCAACGCTCACCACTGTGTAGGGCCATCACAGAGGCCCCACTGCCCATGGGGATGGAGAAACCTCCACCTTTGGCGACATACGATGGCACGACCGACCCAGACGACCACATAGAAAGCATCGACGCAATGCTCGATTATCAGAACATGCGGGGAGCCATCAAGTGTAGGATTTTCCCCACCACCCTGAGAAAGGGTGTCATGGCGTGGTATAAACGCCTCGCACCCGAATCCATCACTTCCTGGGGCGAACTAAAGAGACAGTTCTCCGGACACTTCACGGCTTCCCGGCGCCATCCGAAGAAAGAGGCAACCCTGGAAGCCATTATCCAGGGGAAGAACGAACTTCTTCGAGACTACATATAGAGGTTCAACCGAGAAGCCGTCCAGGTGTCCACCACGGATGATATGAAGAAATTCTTGATCTAGAGAGGCATACGACCTCACTCCGACTTCTCCAAAGCCGTCGGGATCGAGCATCCCTACACCTTGAATGCTCTTCTCCACAAAGCCCAATCATACATCCAATATGAGAAGATAGAGACCGCCAACACTGCCTGTGACACGCGGAACCAAGAAGGCTTCAAGGGCACCAGGCATGAGGAGGCTGCTCTTCCTCGACGAAGCGGGGAAAGAATGAGAGAAGACCGATCCCACGAGCAGAGGGGACCAGCGGGCCGATTCACTAAGTACGCGTTGCTCACAGCTCCCCGGGAGCGCATCCTATCCGAATGCACCAATTCAGAATTTCAGAGGGGTGGTGTCCGTTTCCCAAAATCGACTCCCCCGAAGCCCAACCTGGACAAATCTAAATATTGCTTGTTCCACCGGAGTCATGGACACGTCACGGAGGATTGCATCAACGTCAAGGATGCAATCGAAATCTTAATTAAGGAAGGGCACTTGAAATAGTACACCCGGAGAGGTGAGGCTCCCCGACCTGAGACCCACGAAGCCAAGAGGTTCGAGGAAGTGTCACCACCCTCCGAAGAAGCTGGACTACAGGTCGCCCTGTGTGTCTCCCGGAAGAGGATTTCCTCTTTCTCAGTGAGCCCGCCAGACCGCTGTCCGCCCATAGTCCATGGGAGGATTTTCCCGCCACCTTCGGCCGGTGGGGACAACAAGTTATCGGTCGGGTCGGTTAAGAGAAAGTTCGGGGAACTCATCAACAAGAGTTTGAAGACAAACGCTAGCCTCGATAAGTTCAAAGGTCAATCGAACCCGATTACCTTTTACCTCGAGGAGCTTCCCGGGGTGCACCAAGCTCCAGCATCCCTCTTTTGATCAGGACTCAGATGGTGAACTTTAACGTGCACCAAATCCTAGTCGATCAAGGAAGTTCAGTGGATATAATGTACGCTCATCTATTTACGACCCTCCAGCTCGACGAAAACCACCTGATCCCGTATGTCCTCTCTGACCTACAGGGCTTCAACGGTACCACCACCAAGCCTTAGGGATACGTGGAACTGCTCATCACATTCGGGGCCGAGGAGACAGTCAGACAGGTGAAGGTACATTTCTTGGTGATCGAATGTCCTCCCTGTACCAGTGCATCCTGGGAAGATCGGCCTTGGTTGAACTGATCGCGGTACCATCTACAGTCTATCTGAAGATGAAGTACTACACGACCAGAGGATGGGTCGTCACCCTCCACGGGGACATTGAGGCGACCAGGAGATGCTTCGAGGCGGAGCTCAAAAGGCTCAACTCAATCAACATTCCCCTCAAGTCGACTGGCAGGCCAGCCCAGACTGAGGAGCAGAAGCCACTCCCTCACGTTAACTCTGTCGACCTCGACAGTCGCATCCCCAACAAGCAGGAGCAGATCACGGAATCTGAAGAAGCGCCTCCAACAGACAACGGACAACTGTCCCATCCAACGCGCCCTATTCCAGACGGAGACTTCGAGCTCATCACGCTCGGAGAAAACCCAGGATGAAGCGTGAAGATTGGTACGGGACTCCTCGACATGGCGAGGAAATAGCTTAAAGTATACCTCCAGAAGAACGTTGACCTGTTCGCTTGGAGCGCTGCAGAGACGCCCGACCTTGACCCTGACGTAGCATGTCATCACCTCACCATAGATCCGGCCACTAGGGCCATAGTTCAACGTAGCACAGGCAGTCTCCCGAGAAAGTGGAGGCTGCTGAAAAGCTGTAAAAGACCTCCTAGAGGAAAATTTTATATCGGAAGCCCAGTACACAACCTGGTTGTCCAATGTTGTACAAGTTAAGAAACATAATGGTAAATGGAGGATGTGTGTTGACTATACTGATCTCAACCGAGCATGCCCCAAAGATGTTTACCCCTTACCCAACATCGACAAACTCGTCGACAATTTTGCAGGCTTTAAACTACTGTCCTTTATGGACGCGTACTTGGGGTACAATCAAATCCCCATGGAAAAGACTGACAAACAATAGACGGCCTTCATGACTGAGTCGGGTAATTATTCCTACAGTGTAATACCCTTCGGTTTGAAGAACGCCGGTGTGACCTATTAGCAGATAATGAACAGGGTCTTCCGGGGAGAAATCGGGGACATGCTTAAATTTTACATGGATGACATGATCATGAAGTCACGTGAAAAGTTTGACCATACCACCCATCTCAAGAAGTTCTTTGAGACGGCAAGGAAGTGCAGGATGACGTTTAACCTTGAGAAGTGCACCTTCGGCATACGAGCAGTCAAATTCCTCGAATTTTACCTAACGAAACGAGGAATAGAAGCCAATCCAGACAAGTGTAAGGCTTTCTCTGATTTTGCCACGCCGAACACAAAGAAGTTCATCCAATCACTAAACGGGATGCTCGCGCCGTTGTCACGTTTCGTCGCCAAGTCTGCTCAACACGCCCTCCCCTTCTTCAAGCTTTTGTGCAAGGAGGCCGTATTCAAATGGACTGAGGAGTGCGAGTAGGCCCTCCTTCACCTCAAGCAAGTCCTCTCAGAACCTCCAGTGTTGTCGAGGCCCGAGGTCGGGGAAACCCTATATTATATCTCGTCGT